GATCATGGCCCTGCAGTCTCACTGCTCAATACTCTGCCTTTTAGGAGTTAAATCACATCTGTTTTTGTTTATGTAGCCCTAACTATACCTCCCTTGGCTGTAAAAAAAAAATGGTTTCTTTTTCAGATCATACAGCATAGTAGGTTTACTTTAGATGTTTTCACCTTCTGCCTTATTAATTTAACTTTAATCACACTTATGAGGCAATTAACAGAGCTGGGGTTAATAACTGAGCAGTGAAACTGCAGGACCATTAGTTAAACACCAAAACCACTTTAATAAGCTATAGTTGTTTTGATGTGTAGAGTGTCCCTTTAATGACCTGATATAGTACATAAGAGAGATGAAGAATGGGTTACTGTAGTAAGTTTAAGACAGGAAAATGAGGCGCCAACCTAATGTCATGTTTAAAATGTGGATCGCTGTAAAAAGATTTTAAGTACAACTAACCTAAAATGACATTATTCCGTTAAAACCACAGGAACTACTTGCATCTGTGTTAATATTCCATTATAAAAAAAAGTGAATGCAAATAGATTTTAAAAAAAATAGCTGAATTAATTTGGACTATCATTTCTGTTCAAAATCATGAATTTGGATGTGGAATATTGCGGTTGATTATGGATATATATATATATATATAAATATACCCAAAGACTTTATTGCTGTAAGAAAACATAAACAGAGGTTAATTTGAATAAGAGGATTTAACATATTATGCACCATTTTCCCCAGTGTAAGACAAATCACACATTCACAGTCTGGCTCGTGTGGTTTATTTTGGCTACAGATTCTGCCATACTCTAGGGCTGAACGGCTAACAGAATGGATTCCATAAAAGCAGAAATGCCATTACTTACTGAGTAGTCGCAAGCTGGTATTAAATGAGCCAAGCCTATTGGATGCCAGGCAGGTGTAATTCCCATAGTGCCTTGAGGTGACATTTGAAAAGAGAAGCACAGACCATGTCCTCTCGTTTTGAATCTTTATACCTTCCATTCCAGTAAACAGTCTGCTAACGGAGGCAAACCGCAGAGAGAGGGAAAAAAAACAAACAAACATGAAATGACAATATTAAAACACAGAGACAGTAACTGATCAAAGTTAATCATCAAATAATCCACAGCCTGCCCGACACAAACAATACTATTACATGAATGGTGATGAATTGAACAGATATCTATCTGTTGGGTAAGGGACATTATGTTTGCGAGGCGGGGGGGATATGATAGAACCATTTAAATACATAAAAGGAATCAACACAGTAAAGGAGGAGACTATATTTAAAGGAAGACAAACTACCACAACAAGAGGACATAGTCTTAAATTAGAGAGGCAAAGGTTTAAAAATAATATCAGGAAATATTACTTTACTGAGAGGGTAGTGGATGCATGGAATAGCCTTCCAGCTGAAGTGGTAGAGGTTAACACAGTAAAGGTGTTTAAGCATGCGTGGGATAGGCATAAGACTATACTAACTATAAGATAAGGCTGGGGACTAATGAAAGTATTTAGAAAATTGGGCAGACTAGATGGGCCGAATGGTTCTTATCTGCCGTCACATTCTATGTTTGCAAGACAGGTGCTATTCTGTGGCAAAGGAGCAGTCACCATAGAAACCAATAGAATGTCTCTCACAATTTTGCACATTGCACCCAAAATACCATAGTTACTGCTATATTGATAAATAACCCCCACCCCCATGTCAACTCTTACACAGAACCAAGCACCTTGTCCATAATCAATGGCTGCTAAATGTTAAGGTTTAACTGAACTGCAACTCATATGATTCTCTGTTAGTCTTCGACCACCAAATAAACAGGTAAAACAGTTACCTGAGCACTACCACAAACTGCACAGTACACCTGCAATCATCAAGCTAATGCTTTAGGTGACTCAGATTCAAATAATTACCCCGGTTAATTTCCGCTCACAGGTAATTAACTCAGGTGACATACACAGTCCTGAATGAGTGGTCCTATGGGCTTTGCATATCATTTTAAAATTGTTCTGGATAACAGACCTTTATTAAGAAAGCACAAATCCCACATGTGTCTGTACAAACAGGTAGGTAGCTCTTGAGGTCTTCCAGTAAGTGTACTTACCGCTTGTCTTCTTTATACCACTCAAACTCAGCCGGGGGCACCGCTGAGGCTTCACAGCGAAGTACTGCTGATTTGCCCACCGAGGACTGGGCATTCTTTACATCAGTGATCGATGGAGGATCTAAGAAAAAAGGGGGTTTATAGGAGTTAAAGAGGCAGTCTTACAAAAAGTCATACTTCCCACATATTTACATATTCTTACACTTGCTTAAATATTTAAGGACATTTCACAAAAATCTAATTTTTTTTTATTCACGTGAAAGATTAGTTAACCGGACATTAATTATTATTGTATGCGGATGGAATAACGGCATATACAGGAACCAGTAATTGTGAAATAGATCAAAGGGGCAGTGGATGTGTATAGAGTTTGAGCATTACCTGTGTCACTAATAAAGAGTTTAAAGTGAAAATAAAATTTGATCACGTGATATAACGAGTAAGAGAATCGTGGTGGGCTCAGAATACGCCTGATATTGCTTCGAATGGTTAATATTAACAGAACTGTGTATACAATACAGCTCGGAGAGAATTTAGACTTTTTTTTTTAATGTTTTGATATACCGGTATTCTTTACCAGGATTTTTCAAACCTTTGTGAAGTGACTTCCAGTATTGCAACATGCACATTCTCTAACTTAAAGGATCACTATAGGGTCATGAACACAAAAATGTATTCCTGACCCTATAGTGCTAAACCCACAATTTAGGTGGCTTGCCCCCCCCCCTTAGTACCCCTATAAAAGTTTAAAACTCACCTTATTTCTAGCACAGCGCGGGTCCACTGGCGCTGGCTCCGCCCCCTTTGTGACATCATCAAAATGGGCGATTTTTTTTGCCAATCCAATGCTTTCCCATAAGGCTAAAATCGTCACGAGGGCAGGGCCAAATGCTGTTTTGGCCAATCAGGACCTCCTCATAGAGATTCATTGAATCAATGGGGACGCTGAATGGCAGGGCTGCTTACTGTGCAGCACTGAGCCAGGAAGCCCCTCCAGTGGCCATCTGAGGAGTGGCCACTTGGAGGTGTCCCTAGGGGCAATGTAAACAAGGTCTTTTCTCTGGAAAGGCAGTGTTTACATGAAAAATGCCTGAAGGTAATGATTATACCCACCAGAACAACTACATTAAGTTGTAGTTGTTCTGGTGACTATAGTGTCCCTTTAATTTAAGTCCTCAATGTATCACAGATATCACTTTACTTCATGTGTAATTTCACCAAAGAAGCATACTGTAATGTGTTATAATGAAACATTAATAAAAATTAAACATTGTAATAAAGAACTGAAATATTGACATTTTATGTACTATAGTCTCACTCTCAATTATTCTTACCTTTTTTCACTGGATATACCGTTTCTGGTACTAACATTTTATGTTCTGTCGTTCTGTAAATGTATTACACCATGTGACGGGTTCTTTCTAGGTATTATATTATTATTATTATATTGATGCGTGAAATGGAAATATTAAAGTCACTTTACTGTGGGTTTACGTTATTGAGAAATGCTTTATTTCTTTTTCCCCTATAGCACAATTATCAATCTGTCACACATTGATTATTTTAATCCTTAAAGGGACTCTCGAGGGTGTTTTTAACACCAATGATGCTGATAAATATCCTTCTCTTCTGGCTCTCCTATTATCTGATTATCAATGAATCTCAAACTATCCGAAACCTTAAATTGTTCTTTAATGGGGGTTAGTGTGTATATCCACGTGTATTTACAGCCATACATGATTTTTTTTTTCAGTGATGTTAAAAATAGCAATAAACTTGGAAATTGAAAAACGTAAACAGCGCAGTTTTTAGGGAAGCTGCAGGGGCAGCATATATGCCCCCCAAATCACTTCAAGAAGTGATATTGGATCTTAGACTATCCCTTTAAATTTAGTACCATGTGAGCGTCTGTCATAATATTTTGTTACAATAAAAGGATACATTTTTATTTGAGATATAAATATATATATATTTTTTTTAAAGGGTGCCAGATTCACACACTTTAAAGAACTTAAAGCTTTCTGGCTGGCTGAGCGTTTTAGGAAGTATAGCTTGTAAGTAACCAGGATGCCAAGGTTATCTACGACTGGAATAGAGTTAATGGAATATTGTGTATAGGAGTCAATTTCCATTTTCCTTGAAGTTATTAAACCATCTCAAGGCAGCATTTACTTTCAATATGTTACGGGAATAATAGGAGCAGTGACTGTGCTATCGGTTCCATCGGATGTGGGGTATTCGTAAATGGGTTACCTGTTATTAGCGGAAGGTTTCAGCATATGCTTTGTGCTTCTCCTCTACAAAAATGTCAGTAAAAATAAAATCCTGCGTCCGATGTCACAAATAATTATAGACAGCCAGGCCCTGACTTCCTGCATTATGTTACCTGTAATTAAATCTCCCATAAACATTGATTCACTGCCATTTTTTCATATCTGCGGTATTGGCTAAACTTGGTAGACATTTAATAGTGCAAGAGGGGCATTCTATGCTCGGCCACTGTTACTTACTATACAAGAGGGAGCAATGACTATAGTTAAATGTTAGAAAATTAATTCTGGATCTGCGAGTTAAACAAACAGGAACATATGCTGAAAACTAATAAATACTCTCAGATTATTCAGATGGAAATGGTACATTCCTGTCCAAAATTGAAATTTGACAATGAGTTTATGAGTTATGTATGCGTTCACTGCAAGAGATAAAAGAGGCATCGGATCAGCGCACTGGTGGCTGCTCTCAGAAATGGCACAGGGGGCAGAGAAAAAACCCAAACACACCAAGCCCACACCTCACAACGTTTCATATGGACAAAAAGGAACCACTTTTATTTTAGGGGCGTGAGTGGGGGGCGGTGGCCATGGGCGCGCTGTTCTAAAACAATTTAGGTGACCTACTAATAAATAATTTATACAACTAAAGTGTGATTTAGAACAAGAACAATGTATCTTATTTACACATACTGGTTCCTAAACACATGTATTGTAGTTTAAAGACACATTACTGGGAGTATTATTGCTGTGGAGCTCTGTTATACACTCAGACACATTACTGGGAGTATTATTGCTGTGGAGCTCTGTTATACACTCAGACACATTACTGGGAGTATTATTACTGTGGTGCTCTGTTATACACTCAGACACATTACTGGGAGTATTATTGCTGTGGAGCTCTGTTATACACTCAGACACATTACTGGGAGTATTATTGCTGTGGAGCTCTGTTATACACTCAGACACATTACTGGGAGTATTATTACTGTGGAGCTCTGTTATACACTCAGACACATTACTGGGAGTATTATTGCTGTGGAGCTCTGTTATACACTCAGACACATTACTGGGAGTATTATTGCTGTGGAGCTTTGTTATACACTCAGACACATTACTGGGAGTATTATTGCTGTGAAGCTCTGTTATACACTCAGACACATTACTGGGAGTATTATTGCTGTGAAGCTCTGTTATACACTTAGACACATTACTGGGAGTATTATTGCTGTGGAGCTCTGTTATACACTCAGACACCATGGGCGTCCACAGGGGGGGGGCAAGGGGGGGCACTTGCCCCCCCCTGGATTTTTCAGCTTGTTCTGCTATTTTGTGTGATATAAAATGAACTGCAATACCGGCGCCGGCCAGTAGGTGGCGCTGTGTATGGAGAGATAGGAAGCTGCATCTTATCCCTGCTTCTCTCTGCTGATTGAAACCGCAGGGGAGCAACACATGCAGCCAGAGACAGCCTACAGATCAGGTAAGAGAGGGATGGGGGGAGGGTTTGAGATAGCCTATAGATTTGGGGGGGCAGCAGCCTATAGATTTGGGGGGGCAGCAGCCTATAGATTTGGGGAGTGAGGGATGGGGGGAGGGTTTGAGATAGGCTATAGATTGGGGGGGGCAGCAGCCTATAGATTTGGGGGGGCAGCAGCCTATAGATTTGGGGGGGCAGCAGCCTATAGATTAGGGAGTGAGGGATGGGGAGGGTTTGAGATAGCCTATAGATTTGGGGGGGGGGCAGCAGCCTATAGATTAGGGGAGTGAGGGATGGGGGGAGGGTTTGAGATAGCCTATAGATTTGGGGGGGGGGCAGCAGCCTATAGATTTGGGGGAGGGGGCAGCAGCCTATAGATTAGGGAAGTGAGCATAGGCGTGCGCAGCCTATTGCAATAGGGTGTGCACCCTAAAGCACAAACACACGCCATGTGTATATGTATGTGTGTGTGTGTGTGTGTGTGTGTGTGTATATATATATATATATATATATATACACTGCTGTGTGAGGGTGCTGGTAGTGTGCTATGTGGGTGAGGGTGTTTTTGTGTGTGTTTGTGAGAGTGCTGTGTGTGAGGGTGCTGTTTGTGTGCAGTGTGTGAGGGAACTGGTAGTGTGCTGTGTGTGTGTGTGTGAGAGGGTGTTTCTGTGTGCGTGTTTGTTCGGGTCCTGTTAGTGTGCTGTTTGTGTGCTGTGTGTTTGTCAGGGTGCTGTTTGTGTGTGAGTGTGCTGTTTGTGTGTTTGTGAGGATGCTGTTAGTGTGCTGGGTGTGTGTGTGCGAGGGTGATGTGTGTGTGGGTGCTGTTTGTGTGCTGTGTGTAGGTGCTGTGTGTGTGTGTGTGCTGTATGTTTGAGTGGAGGTGGGGGCAGATTAGTTAATATCCCAGTCCTGCTGCCTTCCCTGGTGGTTCAGTGGAGAGTGAACTCTAGCCCGGGTTCTCTGCTGCCTCCCTCCATGCTGCTGTGGACCGGTGAGGTAGAACTTTGATCTCCCCACCGGCCCATGGAGGCTTAGACCAGAGCCGCCGCTCGGATAGCGTCGGCTCTGCATGAGCCGACCGGGGAGATCCAGAGATCTCCCCTGCCGGTCTCAATCCATTGGCGTGCCGCGGGGATTAGGGTGTGCCCAGGCACACCCGACACACCCTGTGCGCACGCCTATGGAAGTGAGGGATGGGGGAGACAGCCTACATGAAGAGTCAGCAAGGAGCAGGAAGGTAAAGTAAGAAAAGGAGAAGGAACAGAAATGAGCAGGAAGGGACATCAAGGAGCAGAAAGGGGCAGCAAGGAGCTGGAAGGGACAGCAAGGAGCACAAAAGGTAAAGTAGGAGAAGGAGCACAAAGGAACAGAAATGAACAGGAAGGGTCAGCAAGGAGCTGGAAGGTAAAGCAGCACAAAGGTAAAGTAGAAGGAGCAGAAAGGGTCAGAAATGAGCTGGAAGGGGCAGAAGGAGCACAAACATAAAGTAGGAGAATGAGCAGGAAGGGCACAAAGGGAGCAGGAAGGAGCACAAAGGTAAAGGAGCAGAAAGAATCAGAAGGAGCACAAAGGTAAAGTAGGAGAAGGAGCAGAAAGGGACAGCAAGGAGCACAAAGATAAAGTAGAAAAGGGAGCAGAAAGGGTCTGCAAGGAGCAGAAAGGGATCAGAATGAGAAAGGAGCAGAAGGGTGCAAAATAAGCAGAAAGTAGCAGAAAGGTAAAATAGCAGAAGGGGCCAAGGATAGAAAACAGTGTCAGAAGATAAAAAAAGACTGTCAAATGAAGGAGATTGGAGCAGGAAGGACAAATGAAGTGAACCCTCCACTTTATTCTGGACACCACATCATAAGGCTTTGGTACCTGGGCCAGGCAGGGAAACGCTGGACCTTCTCATCTCCAAAGGTAAAAAAAATATCAGTATTAATGTGTTCACTTTTATTTACTGAGTGTCAGGAAGCACAGAGTGCCGTTGGGTAGGGGTGTTGCTGATTGGCTAGAGCGGTCAGCTGGCACTCTAAGCCAATCAGTAGCTCCCCATTCATAAAAAAGTAAAAATATTTTATGAAACCGGGAACTAGCGATTGGCTTAGAGCGTCAACTGTCCACTCTAGCCAATCAGCGGCACCCATGCCTGACGTCAATCTGCACTTCTTGACACTCTGTTTCAGAAGCCAAATACCACTGAGCGACCTGGAGCTGGAGGAAGCCTTTGGGGTTAAACCATTTGAGAGTGATTTAACCCCTTAAAGGAAAGCGAGCACCCAGGGGCTTCCTGGCATCATAGCATTTTCATTTAGGTGAAGTTGTTATGGTGACCAGAATGGTCCTTTAATTTGCTTAAAGGAACACTATAGTGTCAGGAATACAAACATATATTCCTGACAACATAGTTGTGAAAACGCTATTCACCTTGGCTTTATGTGATAATGGCTATGCCCCTTCCCTTTCATGACACTGTCAAAAAGGTACCAAGCATGGATGTCATTACAATTATGCCCCCCCCTGGAAAAATTCCTGCGGACGCCCATGTCAGACACATTACTGGGAGTATTATTGCTGTGGAGCTCTGTTATACACTCAGACACATTACTGGGAGTATTATTGCAGTGGAGCTCTGTTATACACTCAGACACACCAACAATATATGGAGCTCCTAGAAAAGAAGGACATTGGGATAGAAAAGAGGGACAGAGGGATTTGGGCCCAAAATAAGGAATGTCCCTCCTAAATAGTAACACGGGGCAGGTATGAAAAATTGCACCAGCACAAGGGCAGAAGTGCAAATACTGCATTCCCAGTTGCCTCTAAACAGGCATCTTTATCTGGCATTGATCTTAAACCTCATGGAGTAGGTAATGTGCACATCTCAGGTGGGTACTATGGTAGGTTCTATGGTCAATGACCAATGGAAGTCAAGGTTTGCAAAACCAAAGGAAACCCTTTGATCAAGCAATGCTAGTAAATTCACTATATGCCTCTTGCATTCCACCATTAAATAAACAACCAAGCTACGTTTTGACCTTGATGGCTTGACGAAGATCTACTGAGCTTGAAACCCTGGCAGGATCACTGTTTGCTAGGGGAATTAAAAGAGACATTTTTAAGATTGACATTGGTGGTGTTGATTGGTCAATTTGGCTTCCTTTCATCTTAAATCTTGCAAGTCCCGAAATTCGACGAACATATTGCAGACAAACGCATTGCTCACGGCCTCAGCTCAGAATTTTTTTTTAATAAGAGAATTCACCGTATTATGGCACAAAATAAACTCCTTGAAATACTTATGGAAACTGACATTTTATTTGCTTGTTGTCTCTAACACTCTTTCTCGAGCAGAGCAATGAACATTACTAACTGCCTGCGGATCTGTTCTCCCGACCGCCTATCTCAGCCCTGCTCCTGTCTTCTGAAAGAGACAAATCTGTGAACGAGATCATTCAATACAGCAACTATTGCCGATAATGTTCCATTTTCATTGAGTTATACGCTCAGCTGTTCTGACTGTTCTACCCTGTTATTATGTTTTTCTAAGTATTTCTTTTTTATATTTAGAAAGTTGCGGCTTTTTTTCCCCTTTTTTTGTTTCATGATGCCAAACTGATTTTTTTTTTTTTTTCATTTTATTTTTATTCTTTTAAAGCTTTTTTGCTAGTGTGTCATTTGTAATCGTCTTAGAACAACCTTATAATTACCCTAAAAACTCATTTAAATTGCCTATTTTATATTCAGAAGAATAGATGATAACTTGGGTTTTAACTTTACCGCAGATCTTTTCACTTCCAATCCGTACCTATAGAACATATATATTTTTTTCTGATTGTGATGCTTAAACAACTGACTTGGCATGTATTACAAGCTGTCCTTCATACAGCGCATGTGATAAGAGGAACAGTGTACAGTAAAGGTAAACGTAACTTATCATACATTTGCTAGTCTTCTGCGACATGCAAACTAAAAATGAAAAAAATGAGCTAATTTAATTTTGCAGTCTTTTTTTTTTCATGCTAGTTGTCTAAATATTCGGCATGTTTGGGTTTAAAGTTACATTTTTAGATAGAAAAGCATCTACTGTAAATAACATTGAATTCTATGGTAAATTCGAGTTATATAATTTAAGCCACATTTTAAAGCATTTGGTTGCTAAGGTTTAAATAGAAATGGTTACTTCTCTGGAAATGACACAATTGAATAAATCAATGAAAACCACCCATAAACCTTATTTATTTTATGTCCATTTTCTTTTCTTAAATGTATACTGGAGATGTAGCAAATTACATCAATCCAGTTCAGTCCAGGCACAGTCAGGGCATGCCTTGCAAATGAAACGTTGAAACAGACACATTGTTTAATTTCTCCTTTACTCTGTATCTCTCTCTATTACGACTGCCAGGTGCAAAGGACCGAGCTGATAAAAATGATTGACCGGGAGCTATGATGGAGGCACCCAGTTCCAGGGTAAAGTGGTGTGGATATCGACATTCCATTTTATTTTCAGACTTCAGAAACACAAATTTGTTAAATATAATAATATAATATTCACTTTTCCTTTCCTTTGTAACTCTATCACTTTGCCAACGATCTGAGATTTTACATTTGTTGGTAAAGAAGTACTTACAGTTGACGGTGATCAGGACTTTCTTGCTGTCAGGGGTGGAAACTCCATTGGACGTGATGCACTCATACTCTCCGGCTTGCTGGCGGTTGATCTCCGTAATTTCCAGGAGTTCGCCTTCGCTGGAGAAGCCCTCTGTAGGGTGAAGGTGGAAGGAAGAAGGTTGGGGGAGGGGAAGGTGTGAGGGTTTTTGGGTAGGAATGAGACACAAACACACACTTACAACATAGAAACACAACATGATAGTTATCACCTCAAATGAAGAGGCAACCACCACCAACCAAAGAAAGTGTTCACTGGTTTCCTTTTTACTATCATTAGAAGAATGATCTTCCTGTTAATTATGGTGTCATTCAGGTAATACCACTATTATTGTTTTTCCCCTACTTTATTCTCTTCCATTTCATGCAATAAGTCAGTTCTGGGTCATTCTCAAAATACC